GCCCCCCCCCCCCGCTGCATGTGTGTGGTTTATGCTTACTTCATGTACAACAGGACCGAGCCAAACCAAGCTGGCGGCCAGGGAGAACACATGAGATATTAACATCAGATGTACAGTGCACTGTAAGCACAGGCTCCCGTTGCTGCGACTTATCATCAGGATTGGGTTAATAGTCGGAATTCTGCACAAATAAGTAACTCCATGCCTTGGAGTGAGGCAGCAGCCTCAGCCCTGCACCGAGAGCTAAAACACAGCTGTGCAAACGGCAACGGTGGAAGTCAGTAAAGATGTGAGCTTCAGCTAAGCAAATAAATAATAATACCAGCGAGAAATTACAGGATATAAAGACATTATTTTCAGTGTTTGTACATCTGATTCAATTTGAACTCAATGATGGTTTGAATTTGGCTCCTCCGCAGGTGGGAGGCCCACATTACCTTGGGTTTGAGCAGGTCCAGTCGGCTCTGGACGCGACTCTTCAGGGGTTGCGGCGAACATCCAGTGGATACTTCAGGAGATCTGGGTCAGAGGGAGAGCAGAAGGAAAAGCAAAGATAAGAGAAACAGAATTCACATTCAACTTTGACGGTTTCACTCGTGTCGGGCTGAGCTGATTCTTGGTTTTCACACGGGAAATTTTGGATCCAAGCCACTTGCTGTCAAATGTCCACCTCCAATGTTATGTGGACCCCTGCCCCCCCCCAACCCCAAACCACAGGGCTGCTTATTTAAATATTTTTATTTCAGATGTTTGTGCAGAGAAATTGTTCCAGTGTGCTGTGGGAGGATTTTCCTCCCTTTGGTCTCGGTCGAGAGTTGTAGAGTCTTGTGATGATTTAATTGCACGTTAAGGGGATTTCCCACCCTTTCTAAAACCTTGTATCAGTTAAAAATCCAATGGTCAACGTGATCACTCTGGTAGTGAACATTTTCTTATCAGAACTTTTGATACAAAATTTTCTCTCGGGCAAACACTCTGATCTTTATTATAAATGTTTAACTGTAAACAAACCTAAACAACGTGACGACACTTGTTCCCTCAGTTCCATTGATGACGGGCTGCTCCTCGGACAGAAGGTCCGCCTTGTTCCGAGATGGCGGCGTCAGGGCCTCCTGGTCCAGCAGGGCCACCAGCACCTTCACCGTGTCCCGGCCTCCGAATGCAGTGTTGTGATTCAACGCGTACGCTTTAGGCTGGAGATAAAACATAAAAGCAGTGCAATAAGTAAGTGGGCTTCAGTCAGAACACGTTTGCTCAAGGGCTCATGTTGGGCTTTTACCCTGGCGGGGCTAATTCCCGTTCCGTTTACGCCGGCCGGTTGTTTCTGTACTTGGTAGATGTGGGAGATCCTCTCTCTCAGTTCGTTGGCTACCTCTTCAACCGCAGCATACACTGCGTCTCCACTGCTGCGCCCCTTCACCAGCAGAGCCCTGATGGCCATCACCAGCTTGGATCCACACGCACTGGAAGGAAATGTGGCACAGTGACACTGGGGTTAGCATCTGCTGGAGGGAGCTTCACCACGACATACGTAGAAAAGAGGAGAAGAAGAAGAAGAAAAAAAAAGAAGCTGCATTTGTTTTGGAAAGGAGTCGACTCTTCTGCTGAACACATACACTTTTTCATCTGGATGGGATTAATAGCGTTCAAGAGTTCAGCCAAGATTTGCCAACATGAATAACTCTCTCCCAGCACTGGCCAGGGCCGGAGCCCGAGTGTTTTCAGAAAGATATACTGCAGCTTCACTTTCAATTAATTGGACACCGACTTAAAGGGCTCAGCGTAATTGTTTTCTGTTAGCGTCCAGTCCGTCCAGTTGGGCTTTATTTCACGAACTTTGCTCTGCCAAGGTTAACAGTTTCATAGCGCAAGGTCCTGTATGCCCCACTCAGCCCCCCCCCGACCCCCACCCCCGCTGCTGCCTTAAAGTCACCCTGAACCTAGAGCGCTGTCACTGTGCTCAACGCTGGACTGTCAGAAAAACTCCAGGAGTTTTTCCCTTCATTAAGGTCTTATGGTGGGATTTCTTCCCTGCGTGTGCACCGTCTGCACCACATGTCCAAAAATCATAGCAACATATCACTTCTAACAGTCAAGAGCACCGAAGCGTGTTAAAAAAAAAAGAAAAAAAAGAAGTTTGCAGTACGCTGCAGAGGTGGTGGTCCAACTCGACCCAGCTCTAATGTAGGTACAGCAGGACCAAGTAACAGGATCATTTGGGAAAACAGATGTTCGGTGAGAAACGTGACCTTGAACTCCCAGTGGAAGGTGTTTGTACGAGGAAATAGAGTCTTCCTGTAGTGAAGTACTGGTGATACTGGTTGAAAAACAAAAAAACTAGCTTTGTTCTATGTGTTCTACAGGTAATAGCACTTTTAGCAATTAGGTCAACCTTTCTTTGTAGCAACTGTAAAGTCACATGCTCTATATAAATTACTTCTGAATACTTTTCTAGGAAAACTCAATGCTATTGTAGAACAAAATTCATCATTGTTACAAATCTCGGCTATTTCAGAAACATTTTTAAGCTCATCCTGAGGAAGCCAACTGCTTAGCCAGGAAGCTAACATATTGTCCTTCCATTTCAGCTAACTTTAGCTGTAAGGCCCTACCATAATGTACATTTTTGTCAATTTGCTGCTTTCTTCTACAATTACCACCATGTTGTCTTCTATACAGTTTATATTATGTTTAGATAAACTTGAGGCTGCAGTTTTTTGTTTTAGTTTTAGTGCTACACTGGCTACATTTATATTGAACAGCAACTCTCAAAAGCTCAGGTTTTTTTTATCTGAAAAAGACCTGAAAATTCAATCATTCTGCAAGAAAACACTGTGACTGTGACTGCTCCAATCGGTGACCTCTCCTCAAAGCCAAGCCCTTACGCGACCGATCTCCTAAAATCATTTCTGATAGCCTCCTATGATGCGGTGCCAAACGCTCCAGAGATCTGAAATAATCTTTAAACCTTGGGGGGAGCGATCTGCGTCACCTGAAGTCTGATGATAGTTCATCAAAGTGAGCCAAACAAAACAGGGAACAAGTCGTTTCAGCACCAAACGCTCTTTGATGTGAAAAAGATGAACAGGTTTTAGCAATCCGGATGTTATCATGAGATTCTTAGGTACAAGTCATTAGGGGGGAGATTTTAAAGAAAATCATATGATGCATTGGGGACAGGTGGAGTTCACGAACTGCTGTTCGGGCTTTCAGTGCACAGGTGTCTGCCAGGTGGAGGAGTCAGCTGTAAACACAGTGATGAACTGCAGCTGCTGCAGCAGCAGCAGCAGCAGCAGCAGCAGCAGCAGGGCTTCCCCACAGAGCTGCTGAATCCACTTCAGTTGTCTGAGATTTGATTACATCAGTGAACTTTAAATCAGCCATAATAGACAGACGGGCTGATTTCAGGCAGCATATTGTTCTAAATATGATTCAAGTCAGCGCCAACGATTGATCCGCACTTGGCTCTTCTCTTACTTTTTAGGGTTGCAGGAAATTAAATATAGAATTTTCTAAGAACGCTTCCTTGAAGTGGACTAATCGGAAAAATACTTTCCAGCAGGATGTTTGGGATAATCTAATACAATGTTTTGATTTATCCTCGAGTAAAGAGGAGGAAAAAACATTTGTAACCACGACAAGGGTTCAATTTCAATTCTTTTAAAGCAGGAAGTCCTGAGTGAAATTTCTAGGAAAAGTCTGTTATTTCTCTGTCAACAAATTCGATCAAGTCCAAAACCGAAAACAATCTCACGTCACAGACGTCGGACTGCAATGTTTTCGACAACCCTATCGGATTCCTCTGTGGCCACAGCTGGACAACTGCAAAACCAGCAGCTCTGAGTGATTTGATGGTCTCCTGCTTTAGTCTGAAGAAACTTGTTGTGATGAGTTTCCTAGAAATCTCCATGCTGTGTGGAGATCCAAAGTCCTGATCCTTCAGATCTGGAAAGACTTGAACAATGTGTGAAAGATGAATCCTCCACATCGCCGAAGAACACAGGCCGCAGATAAATATCACAGTCGAGCAGTGGTACTTTCAAGACCAGTGGTTCTCAAACCATGGTATGGGTAACATTATTGGTACTAGGGATTTACTTTTGTTACGTGGAGAATCACTTAGCGGTTACATACAGCTGGTATAGTGTCCTGTGTGTGGGGTTGTCTGGTATAGCTATACTTCTGTGGACATTGTCTGGCTGTATTTTGTCCAAATGGTGACATTTTGCAGGTCCCCACTAGGTAAAAAAATATTTCAAATTTGAAGGTGAGAGTATGGACTTGTATACCTTGGGTCCGGGGTCTCCCCCAGAATTTCTTCTAGGTTGTCAAGGAAGTGGACAAAGTCAGACAGTCCCTTGATGTGTTTCCTCAGGGGGTCAGACTCGGCGGGAGCGTAGCCTTTTCCTCCGAGCTGAATGGCCCTCACGAAAGACGTGACTGCCTGCAAACAAGTGTATAAATTTAATAAAAATGTACTTAATCCTGAAGATTTGCCGATCGTCGGTGCCTCTTACCAGGAAGAGAGAAGTGTCACGGGCTTTGTGTTTTATGTCCGTGAATGCCTGACGTCCCAATGTACGACAGGGGACGTCGAGTGTCAGAGCCAGGGCCAAGTCGTTCTTGGAATTAATGAGGAGATTCAGATAGGAGCAGAAAATCCTTCGCACAGTCATTTTTACCTGTTGACAGGATACATTACTGAACTTCACAATGTAGATCATGACTGTCTTAGAGCAAGTGTTTTTGAAGTCTAACATATCATAGTCATATATTTATGCATATAAACACGTGCGTAAACACAAAGAGACAGAAACTACTGTTAAAATTATTTGAGTTTTCAAGTTATAAAAAGGAACAGCATGTTCAGTTCCAAATCCCGCCCTAATGACATTTCCCCTTTGACAGCAAATGACTAAGATGTGCTTTTTTATTTCTGTGGTGTTTCTGTTTAGTCGTATTGAGCGTAAATCTCCAAATATACATGCGAAATACATCTTCTTCTTTGGATTTTGACAGCAGTTTGCATTCTTTGGTTGCATTGCTGCCCCCTTCTGGTCAGTTTGTCTCTAACTTCTTCAAAACCTCTTGTGTTCCAGCGCATCATTGTGCTTCAGAAGGTCTTATTTTTGAAATTACCCAAATGGGTTTTCACTCCTCTACCCAGTGCTAACTGCTAAGCTAACCAGCAGCTGGCTGAATTATTGTACCAATCAAACAGAGGGGAGTGCGTTATTAACTTCCTTGTAAACGTTTGAAAGTTCTGTTAGGCAACTGGACGTGAGGCTTCTTCAGTTCTGAACTGAAGAAGCCTCTTGGATTAGAGGTGAAACGTCTTCTTTTAGAAAATTCATGTCCATTTGCCTAACAGAACTTTCAAACTTGAGCATGTCCTGGGTGACTGAGAATCTTCATAGACATGTTTCTTGTAAACGCTTTTCCAAGGAAGAGAGAGAGACACCGTATTCGTCAAAGTGTCAAAATGATTCCTAAGATAAAACTGCTGGCCGGCGCAGGTTGTGTTCATCAACTACAGTGCCTAATGGGACAGTAGCTCCGTCTCCTGGGTGAAATCACTAAAACAGCAGCTGACAGCCAGCTTTAAGACTCCAGAAATTATATCAACACGACTGGTGAATCAACAGCAGCAGCAAGACTCCACTAAAACCTCGTAAATTTGCAAAGTGACACAGAGGAGTGCAGAAGGAGAGACTCAACAATTGTCCAGCCCCACACGCTGCTGTGTTTAAAACATCGGCCTGGTAACTGAATTCACACTGCACTCCTAAACCTGTGGGATGTGATATAGAGTTCCTGTCAATAGGAGCAGGATGCGTTCCAGACAAAAAAATTAAGTATGCTGAGGAAAAGTGAATGTGTGGATTACTGCCAGCACCAGAAATGGGAATTCAAATGACTTGAAACACTCATGAGTGGAAAGGATACAGTGGAAAGGGAGGAGGAGCTCTTCTGGGAGAGTAGAAAATAAGTTGTACCTTATTTCCATGTACCCTGTTAATAATGTATATAAGTGGCAAAGGGATTGCCACTCACCTGTGATTTGCAGGACCGGCCTCTGCTAGATGGGGTTGATTGACTGGATGGAACTGAGGAAGAGTCTGGTATTTCTGGGACTTCCGTGTTGCCTGACAGGAAGTGAAACAGCTGGAGCTAGGCAGATAAATGACAAAAAAAAAATAATGTTAATGGAGCCCTTGGTGCTTATTTGTTATTTGCTAGCTATATTTGTAACTTTTTCAACCATTTTCTTGGTAAAAAAAAAGCAACAAATTTAGCATTTAGCTTTTTTTGTACCATGTTTTTTCCTCTTTTATTTGACTAACTTCTTTATCTATTTAGTGATGTTCTGGCTCCTTGTTTAGTATATTTGAATTCTATGCTAAAGCTAGCCATTTTTGGCTATTTATGGTATTTTTGACAACTTTATTCCAGCTCAGTTTTAACCAAATGTGGGATATGTTTAAGTTTACATATCTGAATTTGACTAGATGTAAATGTTTACCCAGTTTTTGCTATGTTTTGTTTCATTTTAACCATTTTGCCGTTTATGGTCAATGTTTAACTACTTCTAGGCTAAAGTTTCTAGGCTAATGGGCTACTAGGAGTGCTTTAGCTTTGGCAGATTTGTGGTGTTCTAAGCAAGCACCAAATCGTCCCAGCCCTGCACACACTCACACAGAGCTCAGCTATGGTGGTAATTGTTGAGTAGAGTTTCATTCGAGTTGTGTGCACCACTGTAGTCTAGACATTTTAACTCTGGTTTTGCAAAACATACTCATACTTTAGTCTAAATTATGATGTTTCCAAGGGCCATCTTGCCAGAGCTCCTGTCATGTCAGACCCTGGTTTTATTTCTTGGATAGTCTAACAATTAACTCTTATCTGATTCTGTCCAGATCCTGCTCACCGGGCTCACGGGCTCTTCTGGATCAGAGTCCACTAATCTCAGCTGTTTGTACATGAAGAGCACATCAACCAGGTCCACAGTGTTGGAGCGTTTCAGGAATGATTGGTACTCTTCCAGGATGAGATCATAATTCTCCATGCGTGCAAAGTCCGGAGGCTGCAGGTGAAGTTTGCTGAGCAGTAAGTGTTTCCAGGCCATCAGAACATCACTCAGAGGCACTTTGAACTCTCCTCGGTGCTGTCACAGGAAGGAGAGAACACGGGTAAAGCAAGCAGCCATAATTGGAGATGGCCTGGAACCAATCAGCCCGAAAGGGAAAAGAAGTCTTGCAGTCTAAAAATGGGCTGTTGTTGGTCACAGCCGGATACAAAGTGGTAATGTCATCATTTATAGAAGTGTTTAGTCTGATTGTACAGTTCAATTAAAGTCAATAAAGGAAATGGAACTTAATCATCGTTACATTTGGGCAAAAATTAGACTTACAACAAGTGATATAAAGTGTGGGAAGTGGGCCCCAACCTAGGGGGCGCAGAGTTATTGCAAAGCCAATGATTTTAATTTAAATATATCCTTTATTGTGTCAAAGTTTGTTCACCGCTGATACTGTATAAATAAAAATCCTGGATATATATATTATTTTTTTTTTTTTTGAGATGGCACACAGAATATTGTTATTACAAATGTGGTGACTTATTGCTCAGGTGTAGCATGAGGGCATGGTGTATATTTGGACTGAGTATAACTGTAAAGGTGCAGTCATTCTCTACCTGTTTATTGACTTCAGCCATGGCTAGCTGCAGCACTACCAGCATGTTGTCTGCACCATGAATCGTGGTCCTCTCAGACTGTAAAACCCGGTGGCATTCCCTCCTGAAGGTTTTTACCATCAGCTTCAGATGATCTCCCACTGTCTCCATTGTTAGCTAAAACACATCAGAGGAAAAAGAGAAATCTCACATTTAGATTTTTCAAATAAATACTGGTTTGAGAACACTTTATAGATCTGATATTTATTTTTTAATTAATCACATTTTAAAAGTGAAGGCAGAGTATTCCTGCACAAATGAAACTTTAACCATAAATATAAATACCTTAAACCTACACACTTATAAAATAAATTTACACTTTCTTTTGAGGATCTCAAGACAGAAGTATCTTTCCATACATTAACCTTAACTTGAACCTGAACTTCTCTTCTTTCAATTTATAATCTAGACCAACGTAAGTATAACTAAATAATAACTTAATACCGAAAACAAACGACATCGTAAACGTAAAAGTTCAAACCTTAAATCCAACGGCAACCACCTCGACAAAGCAGCTGTTTTAAAATTTAAACTCGCTCGTGACGTTTTCTGCCTTTCAACCAATCAGTTGGTGAGAAGGACGGCCGGTGTAGACGAAGACAGATGTTTTATTTTACGATTACAGTAACGTTAGGGGATACTGTATGGTAAAACACTTACTTTTAAACAACACATTTAAACTTTATTTAATTGTATTTGCAATTCTTTTGGTCATTTGAATCGATATGTATTTGCTGTTTATCCAAATCTCACCCTGACCGATTGAATAAAATGGTTTAGTCTGTGACGTCAGCGGAAGACGGAAGAAAACATTCAGAAGGCGCGCATGCTTGATTCAGAAAAGTAAGTAGAATTATCACACCAAAAAGCATAGTTTATCGATAAAACTGTTAGGCAGACTTGTTCTTAATTATCCGTATTTTCAAGCAGTTATTAAATAACTAAAAATAAGCAACATGTTTAATTCAATTAATCGGCGTTAACCTTTATAGCACCCGCTGTTGTATAGATAACTCCTAGAGCTACGTGAACTATATTAATATATAGATATAATAGTCTTATATAAATGACTACGTTGTGTTATGCCGAACCCATGTCTTATTATTCTGGTTAAAGGAATAACCATTTGAATAATGTCATAGCTCTTAAATGTTTTAAGCATAAAGTAAAATATGTAAGTGTCTAAATATGTCAACGAGGTTTGGTCTGGCAGTGTTGCAAATTAGTGTATATGAGCTTGTGTGTCAGTTAGACACATACAATGCAATTAGAAATTATTTTGGTACTTGTTCAACACAACTTTCGGATCGAAGACCCCATTGTTTAACCTCTTTTTAGCTCTTTGTTTAATTATTTTTTATTTTGGGTTCTACACAAGTGTTCACCATTTTAATTATAATATATTATCTTAGAAAAGACATCTGCATGTAGGGTTTGTAGCCCATAAATGTAATTTATTTTTAGATGTTATTTTTAGTACTACAAATCCTTGACCTGATTTAAACATTTTTCTGGCCTCTAAATAAGTGATTGTTTTCTTCAATTGTGTTTCTTCACAGATTCTTGACAAATCTGAACTGACTGGTGCCATGTCGCGCAACATGCAGGAGGACACACACCGCAGCCCAAGCTACACCGTGACATGTGAGGACTACGTCCATGTGGTGGAGTTCAGTCCTTTCAGCTCAGGAACTCCCCTCTCTCTTCTGGCATATGGTGGAAACCAGTTTGTGGTGGTTGCTTCCTGTATTTTCCAGGTTAGAAATGCTGCTTCAGTCCAATGTAGACAGGAGTTTGACCGGTTGGAATACGTTGTTTTTTATTTGTTGCTTTATATAAAAATGTGTCTCTTGTCTTCACAGGAAGAGGATAAGGAGATCAAGGGAGTTGACTTCAACATCCTTCAAGCGTTCCACCATGAAGTGCGTGTTGATGCTCTTGCCTGGAGTCCTGAGTCGCGACTGGACAGAGTACCTAACATTAGGTAGGATTTATTGCCTATTCCATTTGTTGTCCGGAGCATCTCTGAGTAGAGCTACACCTTATGTCATATATCATGGTGAATAAATGAAAACAGTCTTTGGATTTAGGTTTATAAATTATTTATAAATTTATTTTAGTTTATTTCTCATTATTTCCCTCATCTAATGGTTGAGCAGTGAGAGAGAAATGACAGCTAGTACATTGGCAGATTGTGACAGAAGCATCGAGTACACCAGTACAGTGTTGAGTGTAGAACACAAGCTCACTAAGATAGTGTATGTCTTTACGAGAAGTTAGAACACAAGCTCACTAAGATAGTGTACGTCATTACGATGATAAACTGTCAGGACACTGGACAACAAGGCGTGTATGTTTTAGGCAGAGTCAGATCCAGAAGAAAAAGTTCTACAAGAATGTAGAGAGTCAGTGGTTAGTAGTTACTTCAACATTACTTTGACGTTAATATGTAGACTAACCAAAGTTGTACAGCCTCAATGCCTGTTTCCCCTGTATTGTTACTGATATCAACCTACTGCTAGTTCTGCAGGTTTTTTATACAATAGCTGGTGTTCATTTAGTGCTTTTTGTTTCTGATAGTTATGTATCGGACCTCACACAGCCCTGCTGCATAAAGAGGATTGTGAATTTTGTCCATTGGAGGGCACTTTTCTTTTTAATCTACATATCTGGTTGATTCCATAGTGTAGCGGTTATCACGCCTGCCTCGGAAGCAGAGAGCTGAGAGTCCTGGGTTTGATTCTCAGAGGAGCCATATGCTTGGCGCTTGCTAGGGGCACCCTGTTAACAGCATATTTGGAGCTTCAGCTTCATGAATTTTCATTAGTTCTTTAGCAATAATCACATCAAAATCATTACAGTTTGTCAGAACAGAGTCTCTATTTACTACTTTAATTAATTAGGTTAATCTTATTTAAATGCAAACTCTAGCTGTAATGTCAATACAGAAAAACTAATCCCACTACTAAAATGTCTCAGTGACTGTTTCATACACTTAAATTGTCTCCTCGTCTTCACACATCTGCCACATTTTTATCCATGTATTTATTTAACAAGAAGCAAATTGGACTTTAGTTTCGCTGTCATCCGTCCTTGGTCTTTCTTGGACCAATCAAAACATTGGTCCAGTTTGGTTTTCCCACAAAATAATTGGATTTATAAACTGGAGCTCTTCCTCTGGGGCTGTTATGACACATCTCAGTTTAATGGTGATGTTTGCGGACTGTCTCATGTACAGTATGTCCTCATGTGGATAAATGAGTTCGTTTTTATGGTATCCTTCAGGGGACACGGCCTAACCATGGTCTGATCCTGTGTCGGTGCAGTCATCTCTGGTCTGACTCAGTTTTTCTTCAGATACAACTGATTCATTTTCTGACTGGAATATCCCCCTGGAAAAACCTTGAGCTCAGCTGTGACGTTAAAAGAGTCCCTCAAGGGGCGATTTGTTCCTCGGTTTGTTGTATGTTAATTAAACGCTGGTTTTGTCGCCTGAAAACAGACTTTGTCCTTAAAAACTTGTGACTTGTTCACGCTTCATCAAACGGATGACATGAATAATATAACTCACCCAAACTAATACTTGGTGGCTCCGTCATCGTGTTATTGCCTTTTTGCTGTCGTCAGATGTAACTGTACACGTAAATTGACTAAACTTATTAAGCGTGGACGTTCTGTACCGTGTTACACAAACACATGCAAATAGGCTTGATTGGAATTTCAGTAACCTATTTACAGTGTTTGAATGTGATATACTGTACATGTGTTATACTGAGCTTTTGGTAAATGCTCTGTTTGTATCTAGTCTTACACAAGTGTGGTGTGGTTCGAGTCACCGCAGTTACATGTCTTTCTTTTCAGTATTGATTTGCCCAACATTTTGTGTTCTTTTTCATCTAAATAGTTGAATTTTTTTTTTTTCAAGAACGTTTCAGACTATCTTTTTCCAAATAATTTATCAATTTAAAGCTACTTTATAGCAGTGGTTCTCAAAGTGCGGCTTGCAGAACTATTGTAATGGGATTTTTTTTTATCCCTCCCACAGTAAGACAAATTGCACTGACTTGTGATTTTATTTCCTTTCTTCAGTTAGAACCCCAGTTTTGCCCCAGTTTGGCAAGATTTACAGGGTTCTAAATGAAGTTCAGTGGAGATTTGACTCAATAGCTGTGAATGTCACAACACCAGGAGTCTCAACAACTGTCTTGTCTATAGGGGGCACTGCAGAGCCAATTTGGGAACCGATGTTTTCGCGATTATCTGGGTGCTTTTAACAACTGATTCTGCAAACTTCGGAAAAATCTTCATGTGAATTCAATTAGGGCTCTGTAGAAGGATTTTAAAAACCCACGGCTGTTCTCGATCAACATCAGAAACCTGACTTTTGTGTCTAACAGCAGGACAGGGTGTAGCTATTGCTAAACATTTCTAACATGAACAGAGAGCGAGGCTGTTGCAGTGAAAACACAGCAGCCACGCTGTGTGAAAGTAGTCATCACCGTCACACTGCAGCTGCTGGGCCCTGAGCCCAGTTGTTTCAGGTGGCCTTGGACTGGAGGAAAGTAACTCTAACTGTAAATTGTTAGAAAGCAAAGAGTTTCCTCCTAATTGGAGCGGTGGATGGGAGGGTTCCGTCCTTTTCCTTTCTGGAGGTGTTTAGGCTTTTTCTAATTGAAAAAGAAAGGCAGCAATAATTCCTCGGCTGCTGCGGTTTACTCCACAGGGCCTCGGAGCCAGCGCTGTGACGTGGGCACATGTTATTGTGCTGATGGCCTCGCGCTCAGGTTCCCTCCATCCTCGTTCATCTGCACGTAATCGTGCCTTCCAGGAAAAAGCACAGCGTTCTCACAGGCTTCCTTCAAGCAGGGGCCCAGAGAGAGTGAAAGAGAGACGGAGATGAGGGAAAGGAAATCTGCCACCGACCACCACAACAGCGTGTAATCTGAACAAATCCCTGGGATATGAGAGGATAGAGCCTTGGGATCCACATGCGAAAACATTCCCTGATGAAGCCAAATCAGGAACAATGAAGTTTTGACTGCGACGTCATACGCCCTCAGGCAAATCTGTAAATCCTGTCAGCATGTGACTGTGAACTACAACATCCATCAGTTGATAATGTGGCTCTTTACGTTGTTGCTGACAGATTTAAAATCCTACTTTAACATCCTTGTGGTCGAGATCGTCTCACGTCACTTTAAATACACTGCACGCGGTGTGATGTACAGAAGACAGACGGTAGATTTAAGTTTTAATAAAATTCCCAATATAAACATATTTACCTGCTGGTCTACTGGCTAGCACTTGGCGCTCTCAACGTCGCGACCCAGCTTCGATTTCCTGTCAGGGAATGTGTTTTGGTGGTTCTTTAATGTAGCAGTTATCATGACTGCTTAAACATCTGCCTTTCTCAGGGGTCACCAGAAATCTCTGATGACAAAACGGCGTCAGGAGCCAAAAAAAGGTTGGGAACCACTAGGTAACAGCATCTACCTGTCCAGCAGATGGCACCGTACACGATTGCCCATTCACTCCTGCACAAATTCTCTTGAGTTTTCTTTTGTTTGTAGTGTATTGGACCTTATATTCTTGACATTTTACACAGAACAATAAATAGGAGTCTGTAGTGTGATCCACGATCCTCTCACGTCTCTAAGTACAGCTTCTAATTCGCACATTTCCACGGTCCTTATATAATCATCAATTCCTAAATCCATGTGTGTAAATGTGTGAACTGCCGTGTTTTCCCTGCTGATACGTGTGTGTTTTTCTTGTCATATGTGACTAAGTGTAATTGTGTGAATAATTGCAGGCGCTGGTGTAAACTAAGGCTGATTAGCCCTGCACAGGATTTTCTTTTCTTCCTTTTCGCCTTAACATTGTAAGGAATTCTGTTTTCCTTGTCTGTTTATCTTAGACTCCCAATTAGAATCACCCGCCTCCACGGCACTAATCACCCTCCAACTTCCTACCGCAGATGCGTGACACCTTCACCCAGAAGTGTCAGTCTGTGCTCTTCGTCAGTTCAGTCTTTGGATGTTTTTTTTTTTTTTTGTCATTATTTCATTGTTTGTTTTCACATCCCTTCTTTTTCCTGTTTTGCAGGTTGTGCAGCGCCGCAGCTGACAGAAAGCTACGCCTGCTGACATCTGATCTCCAGGAGAGGCATGAAGTCAAGGTAGCTCCACATCTGCAGCACATCGACCTCAACGCTGCTCGTCAGCTGGCTGTACAAGCCCTCACTGCTGAACACTGACATTTGGTGCTTAGTGATGTAGGAAATGTAGCGTGCAGCCCATAAAGATGGGCTGCAGCCAACGTATCAGAAAACGCCCGTTTTATGGACTGTGTTTATAGATGTTCACGTGGTCATTTTCATGTTTCAAGTTTTTTTTTTTTTTTTGCTCTGTTTAGGTAATGGAGGGCCACACCAGCTACATCAACCACCTGGTGTTTGAGCCAACAGAGGGGAAACAAATTGCTTCAGTCAGCGACGATCACACATGCAGGTCCAAACGTTTTTGTACATATTTGTGATTGTCTTGAATGATTGCCGTGAACCTTTGAAATGAAAAAATGACATTACAGTAGCAAAAAGATGCAGAAAAAATGGCAGGACAAGCCTACTCAAAATTAGCTAAAAGTTAGCAACAAAATCTCATACAATTAGTTGTAAAAGAAGTAAGATATCATTGACACATAGCATAGCACATTCAAATAGCTAAAATTAGAGGAGATATGCAATGTTTGTGTGTCTGTTATACATGTATAGCTATACTTTTGAGGACACGCCTATGGCTGTGGAGACACTTGTCTTTCGGGGGGAGATTTTGCAAGTCTCCACTGAGTCGGAGGGAATGACGAAGTTAAAGATTTTGTTCGGATTTGGAATTAAAATTAAGGTCAGACTAGAGTGAGGGCAGGAATTAACATCATATATATATATATATATATATATACTTGTAATAGGAAAGGTTTGAGTAAGGAACTAGAGAATGTATTGTGTGTGTGTGTTTGCGTATGTGTGTGATGTTTGACTTCTGTTCTCTGTAAATGGTGCAGAAACTCCTGTCTGCGTTTCCACACTGAAACCTGATGCTAAGCACAACACGCTCCAGTGTGACTCGTGCGTAAGCACAGAGCCCTGCTTGTAGCTGTTCTAACTAATTGGTTAAATATGGAAATCCAATTAGGTACAGAAAGATTTTCCTCTCTAAGGGGGAACCCTCCTCCCCACCGAGGTCCCCAAATTTTCCTTTTCAATTAATTCCAGCAGAGGGAAAAGTGTGTCAGTAGCCAGGGTCAGTGCAGGGACATCACCCCCAAACTCGCCCCCTCTTTTTGTTTCAGACGGCAGATTTTCCTGCACTGTGTAATGTTTTTCTCATTGACTGGAAGTAGTTGTTACATTTTTTTGACTTTTCTAACTACTTTTTTGTTATTTATGGGATTTTACTTTTGTTTTGACACAAAACTCCTGAATATGTTTGCTCCTGTACGTCATTGGAGCTCAGTGCTATATTTTACCGACTGGCTATATCTTGTCAAAACCAGACAGAATTTAAGTAGAAACATAGTGTCAGAAATCTCCAAAATGAACTGCAGCTCAAGTAGAAGACACAAGAACTGAACGCAGGAGTGGCAGAAATCTTTTTTTAATTTCTTTATTAGAGCCATCACTCATGCATTGTGTATAGAGACCAGACAGCTGGTGAATCTGACATCACAAAGCACTCAGACAGCTGGTGAATCTGACATCACAAAACACTCACAAGTCACCATCCTGGATCATTCATTCTGCTCCTCGCCCTCATCCCGTCACTTCAGGCCACCTAAGAATGTGCAGAGAGGGAACGAGTCGTTGTCTTCTTCGCTGCTTTTCTACTCCTCTTTGACCCTCTTCCGAAAGAAGGAGAGGAGGTACCAGTCGGGCCACACACACAGAACAGGGCTGGATCTAGGTAAAGCAGGGAGGGACACATCGGTCGGACCACAAGCTGAGCCTCCTGACCTCTGTCGCGCTGTTAGCCTTGGCAGCTGCGCCTCGAATAGAAGCCCATTTGGCTTTGTCATCACTGTCCCCTGCCGCTGTCGGAACGCTTGGGTTGCCAACATGCAACCTGACACTGCAGCGCGGTGGTAGGGAGCCAGACTCCACTTCCTGTGGGAAGTTTACATCGGGCTCTCATTGTCTAAGCAGCTCATGGGATCAATAACAACACACTCTGTTTCTGAGGGTGCAAATGTGCCACCTAGAGATTGCAAGGCTACATTGCCAGGTCATTCAGGGCATCAGGGTTGACCGGGTTCACTCTTGAACACAGGGTCGCTCACACCTGCTCCTGCAGTCTTATGTATAGGGTTTAAAGAGCGATAATCCATTTGTTTTCATCTGTAACGTTGTACATGAAGGAACATTACGTCTGGTCTACGCTTCCACCCTGTTTTGTATCCCATGCTGATATTGTGTCTTTCCTCAGACGACCTTCTGACTTGTAGCTAAGCACCTCTTCCAACTGTTAAAAAGTGCATTATGCAGGATTACTAGAAAGAGTTGATTACTGTTGAACGGTTGATCGTTGAGTCTCATCCCCTTTGGATGGAGACACTGTGTCCTGATGAGGGTCGACAGATGCACCGTCTTCATACGCGACAAATGACCTCAGGCAACCCCTCAGCTCTGTCACTGTTCAGCTTCGATTTCGTTTCTTATTTTCCATCTCCTTTTATGTTGCGTCAAATACGTTTAACGTCTTCCGAAGTAAAAACATGCGCGTGTAGTTTTCAACTCGGTGGTTTGTGTTTTATAATAGAAAGTATTTTATCGTTTTGGTGGAACACTGCTGGCGTAACTCTGTGTTGTATTAGGCCCACACGGCCATATCTCGTTTCAAGCTAATGTCAGTGCTAATACCATCTTTTTCAATTTATGCCTTTTTAGACTGCTTATAACGATGAGCTGTTGTTGCGAATGTTGAAAAAGTACATATTTCATCATTGAGAGAAGTAACTACATTTGTTTAGGATATTATCTTACAGAAAGTGCCTTTATTCATCTGAGTGGTCGCCTTGACCCCTTTTCTCGATAGGACTGTTGTTGAACCCCCCCATGTTGACACATTTCACTGCTGCACTAATAACAAAACACTGTTATTCCTACTAAAACATCCACTCGTATTGAACAAAGTGCAGTTTTCCCCACTGGGGCAGAAAGACAGAAAATATTTAATTACAGTCCCTGTAGCGGCTTTGCTACGCAAGCAGGTGCCCGCCCCCCACTTTGGGAACCACTGATTTGCCATTCAGTAATATTTCCAATGAAATATCACAAAACATACTTATATGTTAATTTTCATCTCTGTTTTCTATACATTTTCATCAGTTTACTACATATGAGTTTAGTACAACCTCACATTTCAGGACAGTTTGCACCAGCTCTCATTTTTCTGTACATTGAGCTGATATTTGAAATACTGCAGTGATGTGCAGTGCAGGTGCATTACTGCCATCTACAGGGTTGTGGTGTGAATGCATCGGTGTAACTGGTGTGGGAAACATTAGGGAATAAGAAAGATGTGATGAAATGTTAATTTTTAAAATGTATTTAAATGTTTTTCACAATTTCCTTTTACACAAACGGCGAGCAAATAGTTCTACATAATGTCAAGTATCCTAATGCTGCTTTCTTTATTTCTGAGTTAATTTTTTACAGATGAGATTTTTTTTGACTAGTTGCCTGGTACCCCACTAGTTATGGTAACCGCACAGAAGACCAAGACTTGATATAGCATTCACATTAAAGCACTGATTCTGGTTTTTCCACCAGTTTGGTGAAATTAGTTGAGTGCCTCCACTGTTTTTCTTCTTGAAACCGTCAGACATTATAAGGGGTTCCCTGAACTCACCGGGTGGACTGTACTGGGGGAAAAAACCAGCTCATCCAAAAAACACATCAGATGGTTTCAATAACCATCTCAATATTCAAAGTGCAAAAGATAATGTTAGTCTTTCAAATCTAAATTAAATCTTCAGCAGGTCGAGTGAGAAAATACTTGCTGATGCAGATCTTGTAAGCTTCAACCTGGTTCCGTCTGCCAAGCATCAGGATTGGATAATATTGTTCTTTCTCTCCGGAGAATCACCTCCAATTATTTACTTTGCTCTACACAATAAATCAGATCGCTGCAATCATCTGTGTTTCCATTCTTCTCCACTTATGGAAAACACTGGCGAACCATAACAATCTGGCTTGGATCTCTTCTCACCTCAAGCACAATAAAGGACTTCTCCTGTCCTTTTCAACTCTGTTGTACATGGAAGCCCAATGTTATTGCTTGACGTAGTGTGATGCAATTATACGCTGTTTTATCAGAGGCGGTCAAACGCATTTTGGTGCCTCACGTCTTTCACCTCCTCCTGGAGAGGTTATGTTTTGTTGGTGAGCCTGGGCTCTCCATTTGAAGGGCAGAGTGGTTGACCACAGCTTGGCCGCCGTTGGCGTAGTATACAGTTGAGCTCTACTTGGCCAGTAGACTTGAAAGACTATGGTTTAGCCATTGTTTTTCTGGTGCGGTCTGGTCCCCTCTCTTTCTCAGCCTTACTCGTGGTCCAAACTGGAGGCTCTGGCCGTGACTGCACATGGGCGGAGAAGCCTGGAGTTTGGACACAACACTGTCCTGCTGCAGCAGGGAAAGTTCATTGTTTACAGAGGTCTTTATCTGAGACGGAGCATGTCCTCCCTAACGCCACACCGCTGAGGACATCAATCGCTCCAGCAACACACTTGACATTTAGATGGTCTTTGGAGGTGCTTCATTAGATGATGTCTTCTTTATGACCTCATCGTCCATTGCCTTCCTATGCTTCACAGGCATTTGTTTCATATTCCCAGAAGCACTTGCCCCCCTGCTCCCTCCCAAGCCCACGTTTTCTACAAACTCTGACTTTGCTCAGATGTGGTTAACCAAAGATCCAGGTTGCAGGAACCTCAGCCGCTCGTGATTCATTACATCCGCACTTTTTCTCTGCTGCCTTTGCGATCATTAGTCTTATTTAGGCGGAGGGTTGGACATTTTTTTTAATGAAGATTGGTCCTAATCCTCACAGAACCTTCTGCCTTTTAGTTGCATACAGCGGGATGCTGTTCAACTACCCTGTGCTGCGCCTCCTCAGCTGACGTGCTGGTGTTCCGCTGCCCTCTCTGTACTCTACAGAGAGTGAATGGCAGCAGGCCGCCCACAGTGAAACATTTTGCTGTAATGTGAGTGGAGCGTAACGCCGACTTAGGCGAGGGCGATGTTTCCCCCTCTCTGCCCCTGCAATCACAGCTCCATGTAACGTCAGGCTGGCATATTCCCCCTGTAAGACGAGTCCAGCATAAGTCTGTCTGTCTGTCACATTAAGTCCCGGCCAAGATCCCAGAAAACTGCCCCACTTTTTTTCCCCCCTTGAAAACCATGATGACCCCGTACATCACTTGTGCACAAGCGGCAGCAGTTAGATGAATTAGGAGCAAACATGAAGTTGGACCAAAACATGCCGTTCATCATTGCCCACCGTGTGTGCCACGAAAGCCTGTTTAGTCCTGTGCCTTCTACTGAACCACAAATTCGGGGAAAAGCTGAGCTTGAGTTCTGTAGAACGATTAATCAAACTGTTTTTAAAACAATATATTGGCTCCAGTTATGAAAACCTCACGAGCTTCTACGTAAAACCACCAGGTCAAATACAACGAGTCACAACTCTGATGTCTTAATTAAAATATAGTGGGGGGGGTTTTTACCCCCTCCGCGCTGCGTAATGCAAACATTTAGGGCTCATTCATGACTTCACCTTTTTTACTCCTATTGAACCAAATGCAGAAAATGGACCTGGACTCTGTTCCAAACCAAGCAACCTCAAACTTAGGTCTTCAAATATTGTTTTCAGTTTGAGCCAGAGACAGGTCTCATTTGAAGAACATGGCTGGAAATTGGAGATGATGACTGTGATACACAGTTCAAATCTGCTGGGAGAATAAAAGAAGAAGAAATCCATCCATAAAGATCCGTTCTGATAATTACTACAATATTAATTGCCTGGTTATTAAACAATGCTTCCACCAGGTGGCAGTGCCAAATTCAGAGTTCATTTTTGTGCTGATGCCAGTTTCTTAGAGACCACCAAACCAATTGTGGAGGAGGTGGTGATAATGTTCAGACTCCCAGTGATACTGGTCATGAGTTCTGGTGCAGCTACAGCTCGAAGTGGGCTTTTGTTCGCAAGAACTCTGAAAACATGTAAAACTACCCAGGTCACAGTGCACAAGACAAACCAAAGGGTCTGTATGTGTACTGAGCATTGAGCATCACCTAGGCCTTAGCCTGCGAGCACAACTTAGCAGGACAGTACCGTGTTACACCACATGGGGGAGTTCTTTCTCATCCACACTTTAATTCAGGACACATTTTAAACAATGGAGTTTCTACTAATTTTTCCTTTTGATTTGGTGTGGAGTGATCCGTAGAAGTCAGCAGTTTGACTTTTATTATTAACTCTCCAGTACCAGTTAATGCCTGAATGTCTATTTTTAGTGCTGTGACTTATTTTCTTGTGTTGTATTTAATTGTGTATGCTAATCTGTGCAGGGTCTGGGACCTGGATGGAAATGAAAACTGTATTTTCAGACTGCGCTCTCCAGGCATCAGTGTGTGCTGGCATCCAGAGGAAGTGTTCAAGGTAGGAGGAAGTAGTAGTTCCTGATACATGGTCCGTGTGGGCACTTGGGTCTGTTGACTTGGTTGAGGAAATGAACTACATTTACAGTTAGTTATGTATTTAGCAGACACTTTAATTCAAAGCTACTTACAGAGGAGGATTAACATCATCAAACATGTGGTTCCTATGGGAGTCCAACCCTGGACTCTCCGCTCTCTGATTCGAAGGTCTCCGGAGTGGCTCCTACTGGATCAAAAAAATACCAAAAGCCCTGATTGGTCAATTTTTTGGACTTTGTTTGAAAATAAATTCTAAACAAACACAGAAAAAACCCTGTCACACTTGTTTATGATCATTGGAGTGACCTGGTCCTGAACTTGTGTGCTTTAACAAACCTAAGACTTACCGACCCTAGCTTCAATTTTCCCCGAGATTCCACCCATCAGTCTGGTAAATCTCATGCCCTGGACCTTTTTATTTCTTTTATTTTAAGACGAAACCTATTTTTAGCTGTTGGTAAAGACAGAGCGGAATAGTGGGTGAAAAGCCCGACATGGCAGGGATGGCTGAGACACGGCATTGTTTAAATAAAAGGGATTCTGCTTTTAACATCAGAGAAGACCAGATGCAGGCGGCAGGTTCAGGTAGCTGTCCGCTTTTTAAAAATCATGTTTAATAAAGAAAATTGATGGCCTAGCTGTAGCTTTGATGCCGTCTCAATCTGTTCCTGATTATTCCTCCACTGCTGTTTCATACCGGGACAAGCTCCAGTCCCTGGATATTAAAAAGTAGATGGATGAATTGCTTAATGCTCTTTAATAACCGGCTCAGGTGATTTGTTTCCCCCACTTCCCCAGTTATTAGTTGCGGAGAAGAAAGGTACGATTCGCTTCTATGACCTGGTCACCCAGCAGGCCATTCTGTCCCTCGACTGCGGCCAGTCACCGCTCATGTGGGCCGACTGGTGCCTCCACAACACCATCAAAGTGGGAGCGGTGGCGGGCAACGATTGGCTCATCTGGGACATAACTCGCTCCAGGTGACTGGACAGATCGTACTGATGCTGCACGGTGTGCTGGTGAGTGACCGTGTGTAAAACCATGTGCTCATCGTTTGCAGCTATCCCCAAGAGAAGAGGCCGGCTCACATCGATACGGCACGGTTTTTCAAGTAAGATAATTACTTTCATTAAGGGTTTACGTATTTAAGTAAAAATATCTACTTCTCACAAAGAAACAAGTAGAATCTTTTTGTTGCCTCCAAGGTTTAGCAAGAACTTAAAAAACAAAACTTTCAGGACAGTTCCTGGGACTGTCCCTGGTACCTTGTCCAGGAGCTGGGTGCAACCTTTAGGCAGCGCTGAGCAGAACGCATGTGACCAGGTCAACAATGTTGTGAGAAAACATTTCAAAGATATATATATTTTTTATGTAACATTTATTTATTATAAAATGTTCAAATTGCATTAGTAAATTATATAGTTTACATGTTTCTGTACCACCTTTCTTTTCCTCATGCTGGGCCTCCTTTGATGAGCTCTAGTGCCCCCTGGGGGAGGCACACATCACACTAATTAATGGAAAAATTTTTTCTTTTTTTTTTTTTTGGCTTAACTAAAACCATTTTTTTTTTTTTGGCTTAACTGGAATAAAACTGAATGATTTTTCAAAACATATGAATGGATGTCACTCTCCTCAGGTGGTCTCGAGCCAATGAAAACATCTTTGCCACCACAGGATGTCCTGGCAAAATCAGTAGTCAGTTACTCATCCACCATCTTGGCCACCCTCAGGTCAGTGTGATGTTGATTCTCACCTGGATGGTTCCACCTCTGATGTTCTCCACGGCTTCAGTCTTGTTCTCTGTACTCATCTCCCTACAGCCGGTGACCATCGGATCGACGGCGGTGGGCTCAGGCCTCAGCTGGCACCGTACACTTCCACTCTGTGTGATGGGCGGCGACAGGAAACTTGTCTTTTGGCTAACGGAGATGTAGACATCTCTGTTAGCTTTTTCCACACTGATCACTCGGTCTTTAGTTTCAGGTCAAAATAAAAATATTTTTCTGAATACTTCCTGAGCTCATATGGAATTTATTTTACTTTTTTTTTTCTTGCCTACTTCAGATCAGCTTCAGATAAAGCGGCAGGATTGTCTGGCTTCTGCAGAAGACATATTTTTTCTCTTTCCTCTGAAGAATGAGTTACATCAGTTGTCTGTTATCTTCTGCCAAGACAGAGGTAGTTCAGAGGAATGCAGCAAGGTGGTGCCAGAGCTCCGGTTCAGCCATCGACGTGAGCGTCACACTGCAGGTGCTTTTTCTCCCTCTATCTCCCTCTCATTTCTCGGCTCTCTCTCTCCGATCTGAACTTCTGTGTCAGATCTTCCACCTGTTGTTCTGTGAAGATTTATGGTAATGAAAGTCAGGGAGGTTGTGAGACAAAGCAGCAGTAAAGTAGTTGTAGTCCAAGTAAATGACAAGGGAAGTCTCTGAGGCTGTTCCAGGTCATGAACAGACGGCCGAGTACGGCTGAAGGTTTTAAAGAGGAGTTCTACTCTTTACATCCGTAGAAATACTCACCCAGTACTCGCAGTATGACCATAGCCCGTTAGCCCAGACCGAGAGTTCAACTCAGGGTTGACTCGGACAAAGGCAGTGTACAATGAACTAGTGCTACAATTACTACCACTGCCGGACAAAGGCAGTGTACAATGAACTAGTGCTACAATTACTACTACTGCTAGTAATAGTTGTAGTTGTACTAGTAATCGTATTACTTCTACAACTTGTGGTGCTAGCTTTGGTGTGATACCCCCTTCGATAGCTCAGTTGGTAGAGCGGAGGACTGTAGTGGCTAACATAGTAATCCTTAGGTCGCTGGTTCAAATCCGGCTCGAAGGAATGTGTTTTTGGGGCAGTGGTGGCCTGGTGGTTCCCTCACAATTTTTGAGCCATGATTACAATATTTGTCTTTCTTACCTCCACTTTTTTTTTTAACCAGAGGGGATTTTGTGATGTACCACCAGTGGTACACGCGCCATAGATTGAGAACCACCGCTTTAGTGAATTAAACCATTGGCCACTAGAGCACACAATTCACTCACGTCACTGTTTTCAACTCTAGTATTTGTAGATAACTCTAAAAAACGATCTCCGTATCAGAATGAAATGATTAAGTGTACATATATACTGCACATATATATTTATTTGAATGTTTTTTCTGCCTAGCGTTGCCTCTGCACCAGAGCTGCCGAGACCTGCACTCTTTCTCACCACTCCGTCCAACTCTGTATGTTTCTTGGACGGCTCACGTTAACCACTGTCCACAAAGCACAACATGCTACCGCTCTCCTGCTCCAAAGCTTTTGTTTGGACACGTCCAATGTGGTCTCAGCTCTCAATATGCAGTTGCTGAAGGTGTAAATGTTGATGGAGCACCTGCACACGGCTCAGCAGATGTCACTGTAGGAGCATGTTCACCCGGACACTCTCTCTTCAATCTTCTTTAGAGGTTCATCAAAGCAGCTGATGGAATCATATACTGAGACGTTCGTCAGAATTCCAGGTGACTCGAGGGCGCCATCTGGTGTACAGTCAGTTGAACTACCATTTAAAAGTGCATCTACTGTAATTAGTCTAGGACAGTGGTCAACGCAGAAATTTGTCACTGCACCATAGATTCGAGTCAAGATTGGAGGGGGGTGTGATGGTTGTCTTGGTGAATGTCTACAGAGAAATCACGTCACGTTACGTTAGGGCTCAACAAAGAAAGCAAACAATGATACTGATGCTGATGATAAAAGTCAAGAGGTCACAGTAATGTGAAGGACGAGATTAGAGCACTTTGTGGTCGGTGCGATTTGATCGCAAGTTTCGTTTTGTTTGCAAACTTTCCCAGAGTGAAGTGATTATGTCGATGTCGACGAGATGAAGAGAGACTTTGGAGATGGTTCATGATCTGAATGGTCACTGATGTTATCAAATTCGTTGCTGCAGTTGAAGGCCAACCATCGGCGCGGGTGAGGGTTCATCTGTTCATACGTCACGTACGGCTTCTGTGTCATCAAACAGCTTCATCAGGTTCCACTTTCTCAAGTTTTGGGCCTCAGTGAGGTTCATCTTGGCTTCCAGAACCAGCCGGTATCAGCTGTGTGCCAAGTCGTTTCGGTCTTCAAGGTTTTCATTTGGCCTGGAGTCCTCCCAGCTGAGCAGCACTGTGTACCTCCGAGGCATCACTGAGTCCTCTCAGTTCACTGTTCACTGTAGCGGTGATGATCTCCTTCTCTGTGTTCACATGAGTCCAGCTTTTGAGATGTTATTGGTGCAGAAGATTCTTAGTGGCTTTCTAAGAAAACTCTTCTTGTGTTACTGCGCTCTTATGGACTCCATGTTAACCCGTTGCATCAGTGGACATTCGGATTTTCACTCTGTTGTGTATATAAGTTTATGTTATGTACACGCAATAGCCCCCATGCACACACGTGTATATATATATATATATATATATTTGTGTATATGTATATATGTACACTATATTTATCAATATGTCTATAATATATAGACATATTGATAAATATGCTGCACAATATACAAATATATTTACATATATACGTGTAAATATACTGTACAAATAAACATATATGTATAGATATATATTCATAAATATACTGCACATATAAACAGAATATATTTACACATATATGTGTAAATATATTCTGTTTACATATATTTACACATATATGTGTAAATATATTCTGTTTATATGTGCAGTATATTTATGAACATATGTCTATTATTGACAGTTATGTACTGTATATATACATACTGTATATATATATATACACACACACACATGCATATATACGTGCACACACATGCATTTTTTTGAACTGTCAGCAACACCTTGTGGTACATCATTTGTACCTCACTGATGACTCCTGTTAGCCCTGGTGGTGACGGTGAGGAAACGTGGCAAACTAAGCACGATGGCTTGGTAACTGTAGGTGGCAGCGGATTTTATGAGGTTAGCCGAGCCAGTTCATTTGAATAATCGCTGACTAATCCCCAGTTTGAAAATCATTTTAAGATGATGTAGAGCTTCACTTTTAAGAAAGCTGTTGAATTTTGATCCTTCGTTTGAATCACACCTCGGACAACCCAGGACAGAGTGAACCCCATGACCCTGTATTTCCCATCAAGAGCCAGCAGGAAGATGGGCGGGGACGGCCTTGACATCAATGATATAAAAACACTTATGGTTTGAGGCAGGATGATGCAGAGTTTGAGGATTTGTGGCCAGAGAACAAGGCACAAAATCTAGTTGGAACTTCCTCAGCTGGTTCTACCCGTCAGGTCCTGGCCGTGGTTTCAGAGGGATTTGTGGATTTGGGAGTGCTGGACGCAGAACGAGATACAAGAAAGTAATAAAGTGTGGAGAAACAGTGTGTATCTCTACACACTTGTCAGGCAGTAGATCACTTTTTTTTTCCTTCTCTGCAAACACTCCCGGGGAGGTTGCAGTGGAAATTTGATTTACTGTACTGTGGAATTATGGGACGTGTCCCAACACAAGGTGGTTGAAGTTGGAGTTCGCCAGCCGCCGTGCTGCCGGTGTTGATGCTTTAGCTGGGGGGGAGATTTTTGCATTTGCGAGAACCATCTTTAATGTGCACCATTTGATATGCACTGTCGCCCCGGTGGAGATCAAAACAAAACTGCTTGGTTCTGATTCATGAGACCTGGAGGCAGAACATCTGTCAGCTGGACAGCCCTGCTGTGGTCGACTGTGAGGTCCCGGTGACCTGGACGTACTCATGTGCTGGGCATCGGTTGCTGGCTCTGGTCTTGACCAGCAGAGTGAACATGATACTGGGATCATTTTGTAATTAGCCTTGCCTAATAACACATGGAGATACGTGGATTCCAAGAATTTCCCAAATGGAAAATTGATGGTTTGTTAAAAGTTAAAGAAAGGGCATTGAAACACTAATGAACTATTTTATGATGCATTCTCCTTTTTTTGTTTTGTTTTTTTTCTTTCCATTTGTGATAACACATTATGGTAGATAAAATAAATTGACCTCACACCTGACCTTTCTCTATAAAGCCACACCATAGCACTTTATTCAAAATGCAGGCATTTTAAGGTCAAGTCAGTTGGATTTAAAGATGCAGTGATATATGGGTCAAAGGTGAATAATTCTGACGTATTCAGCATCTTTTTAATAGGCACAAGGCATCACTGCGGTGGTTAGCAACAGACGGTCCGTGGGCCAGAATTGTTGCTGTACATTGTAGTGGTAATATACTGTATATTTATAATACATTTAACTATTATTACTATTATCTATTAGACTTCTACGGCCGAAGTGGAGCGGCATTGGTTTAATCCTCCTCCATCTCTAATTGGATGGTTGGTGGTTGAGCCTCACGACCATCAACTACTTTGCGGTGGATTTAATTTAATGAAGAGAACATTGGTTGCATGCTGTTGGATTTGTCAGTCTTATCGTCTAACAGAAAGTCTCTCCCCAGGTCTAAGACAATCCGATCTTCTCCAAGGCACTCTGCAGGGTCTTCAGGTCTTCATGCATCTGGCTCAGAGCGCTCTGGATCTTGCCAGGTTGGTCCAAAACCTCCACGCTGCAGGTAAAGGGGTCGTAGTGAACTGCGAAGGGGCGCTTGATGGTCGTGGAGAATTCTCTGTAGAAATACCATAAACACATATGAGTTTTATATCAGAACAACATACAGTATATCCTGACAATATTTATTGGCAGCTGCTCCAATAGTTGCTAGGATGTTTGAATCCAGACCAAACCATGGCATAAAACCACAAACGCTCCGTTACCACGGCTAGCTAAACCTGCTAAAAGTAAATGGTGTGAACACAAAATTTATGACCAACTCTGTTATAGTTTCAAACAGTTCATACATGGACTATGAATAAAGTTTTACAACCTGTGACCAGAACCAATAGGATAGCCAGTTACAGTTCTGTATGTCAGGAATGTTTTTTCCAGGCGTTTACATTGGATCCTGTAAAAATACTCAGAGCAACCAGCTCTACACACACATACATATGTATATATATATATATATATGTTTATATATGTAAAAATACTTACAGCTACCAGCTGTGTACACACGTATAAATATATGTATATATGCATATATACGTATATATATATTTATGTTTGTTATGTTTATGTATGTTTATGTATATGTGAAAATTTTAGGAGGAACCAGCTGTGCACACACATATATGTATATATGTATGTATATGTATACACATATATATACACATATATATAAAGCAATAGTAGTCTGAAGACTATTGTTATGCATCAAGTGTAATAATGAAAATATCCTGCATACTGTAGGTGATGGAGACATCATGATTACCTCATCTTAATCTTAGCATCCTCAAAGTTCTCAGACACAAAGTAGACGGGCTGGTAGGTTTGGTCCTGGTACGGCTGCACTGCCGTCTCCTCTGGGTTGAATGGTTTGTAGGCTGGTTCGTTGGACAGAGCGTACTGAAAGGATGGGTGAGAGACTGGACTCAGACATGGAGTATTTACCAGTGATGTAAGAAGAATGTGCTGCGGTAAGAAAACATGCGATCAGCAGGATAACAGCCAAACGTACAACAAGCTCTCCGTAGGATGACAGGAGTCCGGCTCCGTACGCTTTCACTGTTCCATTCTGCTTACAGAGGCCGAACTCCACAGTGAACCAGTACAACTGTAATGGACCAGAAACAACATACAGTTATTAAAACCGAACGTTGCAGCTCCCGCCCTTAAATTCACCAGGACTTTACACGTGTTTGTCCAAAACATCAAAATGCCATTCTGAATATTATCATGAGTTTTAATGTTGCAATTACATTTACATTTTTTAATTCTGAAAAAAGCCACCAAAAAAACAAAAAACAAAAAAATCAGATCGCCAAACATACCACTAGAGGGAGCCCAAGTAACACCAGTTATTCATCTGAATTTAGTCAGGAAGTATCAGGACTTGACAGTTTTCATAGCACTCGGTGGTTTAAACCGGTTGTAAAGAGACGTACTTAATAAAGTGACCAGTATTATAAAATTATATATATTTTTAGAAAACGGCACAAAACGAATTTTATTCAAATTAAAAACAAAGACGATTGTATTTTCTGTAAATATTCCCTACATTTATGAACATGGTTACAGAGGTTGTGTCACTTTGGTTGAGTCAGTCTTTAAGTAATCCTTAAACTCAAATACCAGCAGTTAGCTGCTGTTACCAACTTTATCCACAAGATGGCACAATGTCCAACACATTCGCCTCGAGCACCGGAAGTTTCCTGAGTTAATCGAAGTAAACGTACTACGTTCGTCTGATTTTTGATTAAAAACTTCTCCACTGGCAATTCAAGTTAAAAGTCATCCATAAAGGGTAAATATTTCGACCTGTACTGTTATTATCGTCCGTTTAAATCTTTTTTTTTACCGCGTTGTCAAAATGAAAAGGAATAAAACGAATAAATTAAAATAAACTCACCGTTGACAGTTTCTCAATGTCTTCATCCGAAGCTCCCAGTGAGGTCAGTCCAATCTCCTGTCAGCAGAAATGATAAAATAAATGAAACTATAATTTTATATCAAAACTGAATAACATAGATGAATACTGACGAGCTCTGACTTTTCACCTGGGAAAACTTGGCGAACTCTTTGTCCAGCAGCATAGGGATGTGACCCAGTAGTTCATGACAACAGTCTCTGTCAGTGGTTGGTGTGAAAATTACAAATATATAAATAAGTTAAGCCCAACATTGAAAACGTTCTGTGTGGATGAATGAAGACGCAGAGACTCACGGTTCCGGTGAGTGCATGGGTGCAGACGGGTGTCGGATGTACTGGGTACACTGAAACACCCTGAAGGCCAAACTGGCCAGGAAGTCTCTGGCTGAGAGAAGACCAGCGACTGGACGCAACTGGAAACCTGTCTTTTCTAGACATGAACATAGAGGAGAAAACACAGATGTCAAATAATTTCCTATAATAATTTCCTAATTCACTGATGTCAAACATGTGGCCCCGGGTTTGGATCAGGGCCATTTGTAGATCATACGTACTCTTTAAAAAAACTTTTTTTTTGTATAATTTGGAGCACAAAGTAGTTCATGAATACAGTATAATAGTAACACACTTGGAAAACGGCACAAAACGAATTTTATTCAAATTAAAAACAAAGACGATTGTATTTTCTGTAAATATTCCCTACATTTATGAACATGGTTACAGAGGTTGTGTCACTTTGGTTGAGTCAGTCTTTAAGTAATCCTTAAACTCAAATACCAGCAGTTAGCTGCTGTTACCAACTTTATCCACAAGATGGCACAATGTCCAACACATTCGCCTCGAGCACCGGAAGTTTCCTGAGTTAATCGAAGTAAACGTACTACGTTCGTCTGATTTTTGATTAAAAACTTCTCCACTGGCAATTCAAGTTAAAAGTCATCCATAAAGGGTAAATATTTCGACCTGTACTGTTATTATCGTCCGTTTAAATTTTTTTTTTACCGCGTTGTCAAAATGAAAAGGAATAAAACGAATAAATTAAAATAAACTCACCGTTGACAGTTTCTCAATGTCTTCATCCGAAGCTCCCAGTGAGGTCAGTCCAATCTCCTGTCAGCAGAAATGATAAAATAAATGAAACTATAATTTTATATCAAAACTGAATAACATAGATGAATACTGACGAGCTCTGACTTTTCACCTGGGAAAACTTGGCGAACTCTTTGTCCAGCAGCATAGGGATGTGACCCAGTAGTTCATGACAACAGTCTCTGTCAGTGGTTGGTGTGAAAATTACAAATATATAAATAAGTTAAGCCCAACATTGAAAACGTTCTGTGTGGATGAATGAAGACGCAGAGACTCACGGTTCCGGTGAGTGCATGGGTGCAGACGGGTGTCGGATGTACTGGGTACACTGAAACACCCTGAAGGCCAAACTGGCCAGGAAGTCTCTGGCTGAGAGAAGACCAGCGACTGGACGCAACTGGAAACCTGTCTTTTCTAGACATGAACATAGAGGAGAAAACACAGATGTCAGAGAGACAGAGTTTGTCATTTAGGAGGATAATAATAATTTCCTAATTCACTGATGTCAAACACGTGGCCCCGGGTCTGGATCAGGGCCATTTGTAGATACACAAAGTAGTTTATGAATATAATAGTAACACACTTGCGTCATTTTTGTAGAAACTCTCTGGTAATTGAACCCAGGACTCCCTGTTCTTTGCTTCTGAGGCGAGCATGCTAACAGCTACACAGTGGAACCACCTGTCTGTATATCCTATTACTGTATATCACATATTAAAATAAATGTTTTTTAATCTTTTTTAAAATGTAAAAATAGACTTTGATGTCAGATATTCAAAATAACACAATAATTTTTAATTAAACTTTAAAAGCCACAAAACTGTTTTTTTTAACTAAATTTCGATTGTGATTTAGCTAGATTTTTTTTTCAGGAAAATTTCTATTATATTTTTAATTTTTTTTTTTAACCTTTCAGAAAAGCTGAAACCTCCCGGAGCTGAGGGATTCGATCTTCTCCGTATCCACACTCCTTCTCCAGCTGCTGCAGACCCTCCAGGAACTGCCGACAGGCCAGGCTGGGGTAGATGCTCCTCAACTGACGGTAAACCTCCCTCCTGTCAAACACAGTCGTAACGTTGAATTGATCCAGACTACAACCCCCATAATGCATCAGTAGTGGCGAGCGCTCTGCTCCATCTCACCATGTGGACACTTCCTCTGCTGTGTACTCAACCGTGGGCAACAGGTCACCACTGTAACAAGGAGGATAAGTGTCTATGAAAAACACGGACGCAAATCAGCGACAACGTAGAGAATAATAATAATCTTAAAATATATAAACAATCATTACAGCAAGGAAATAATCAAATTAAGTTAAAAAGAAAATGTTAGTACAGAATAGTTAAACATAGCGAAAAGATTATTATTATTATTATTGTCTATTGTTGTTATTTAATTATGATTGTTAAATATGTGTGTGTGTGTGTGTGTGTGTGTGTGTGTGTCTCACTGCCTGTATGTGAAGGCCAGCTCAGAGATCAGAGTTCGTCTCCTCCTGTAGTCTGAGTCACTGAAGCCCTAGGTTCAAACCAAACGTCACCGTCAGCAGCTGCACAGTGATGTCACAGATACACACTCTCTGAACAGAACCACTCAC